ACGTAGGTACGTTGAACTAATTTTAGAATATAAGAGCTTGTTAATTTTTTTTTTAACTGTTTGGTTAGTGTCATAATCGTTATAGTTTGCAACGTAACTATACAAATATTTTTTATAACCTGATCTGCAGCAGCTGTATACTGAACAAACTTGGTTAAGTTGCAGTCTCTGTTAAATAAGAAGCTCCCTTTTCATATGCAGACCTTGTTCATTATTGGCCTTAATTAAAATACTTTTAATGGATAAATGCGTGACACTCACGTAAGGCTGGTTCCAATGCCTATTCGGTGTACTTAAATTTGCACGATCTTTAATTCCTGTCAGCCATCGCGTGGTCAATTTCAGTATAACTATTTTTGCAACAAGAGGAAAAAATCGGCCTCGTTTGATTTTTTTCTAGCTGGGAAGCTTCTGTTCTTATATTTAAATAAATACTGTAAATTACTCTGCGTTTTAAAATACATCTTTATAGATTGTATTTGCACATACAATAAAATAGGATATTTAGTTGTTTTATGATATAGACGGCATGTTCATCTATACACGATTAATTTAAAAAATTAAACATCATGGAAATGAAACAATGACGGGTTTGTACTTTGTTCAAATAGATAGGAAACCATTTTTTATGTCAAAGTTTTTATGCAAAAATTCAGTGAGAGAAGTTACGGAAGGACGATGAATTAGGATTTTTACTTAATGTCTTCAACCAACAGGAAAAGTTAACTATAAATGGGTGTGGATAACCATGAACTCTCGTCGGAAAGATGTTTATTCTGTAGAGCCGATATGAATGTTGTCTCGCCAATATCGATTGTTTTACATTGTTTGTGGGTGATATAAATATTTATTAAAAGGCATATTTGATGGTAATCAATAATATTATTTACAATCTTCAGTTGGCACCAGTGTGCTTAAAAATGGCACTTCGTTAGTGTATTTTGAGTATGAGAAATAGCTTCTAGAAGCTCATTGACTAGGTTTAAGAAATTCTTCGTTACTACGTTTCTGTTGTCGTATTTTCACAAACGATAATATTCAAAGATTTTTCTAGCCAGAAAAGGTGTTTACAATTAGCTTGGTCTTGTAATTGGTAATTATACATAACTCGATCGACAGGCTCACCAGCAATAAGCTCAATTATAATAAATTTGCTCAGACTATTTTGCGAGCGTTGGTAGTATGAAAGATAAGGTGGCAAAGAAAATTCCCACACAGTTTCTTACAAAATGGCGTTGTTGTTGTGTTTGTATAACTGTAAGATTCTAATGTACACTGTTCTTTGTGTGTGTGTGTGTATACCAACACCATAATACATTACAGAAGCTTTACAAAGTCTTGATTTAGACTTGTACAAACGTATTCATTTTGAATTATGTAACGCTGTGTGTTCCTTTGAAAATAATTCGAGTAATTGCTAAAAATATGTTAAACCTGTTCTAATTGGTGATTTAACACACCAAGTTCAGTGTTTTTTTTCTTTTGAAATATTTTGCTTTAAATGCGAGATCAGTTAATCCTGAAAGTAGAAGTTCACAACAGAAAATGCCAGGTATCGTTTTGTTGCATGTTTTTTGTTGTTTTTCTACCAGTTGGTGCTTCCATCTAAACTTGTGTCGCTATTTTGAGAAATGTAACAGTTTTAATTAACTCCTACCAAAAGAGTTGCTAAAATAGTAAATAAAATGGCAACTGATTATAATTAGTCTTAATTATAAGTGACGAGCAAGCATCTATGACCACTCCATCTTAGGTCATCAGTTGGATATCCTCACTGTTAGCGGGCGCAGATAGCCCTCGTGTAGCTTTGCGCGAAATTAAAAAACAAACACTGTTAGCGGTGTTTTCTGCCTATATCCAAAGAATATCCGACAAGGTTGGATCAGCAAACCAAATAAATAGTATTAGGCCTCTTAAAATGGTGAAATATATATAATATGTAAATTAATTTAGGTTACTATATGGTGAAGTAAAACGGTTTCAAAATCCCAAGATATCCAGCAACAAGTTTAACTGATCTATAAATATTGCCGAATTATTCTACACGAAATACCGATTGGTTCAATAATACATAAAATGCCCTTTATTAACGCGCATTATATAAACAAATATTAAATTAATATCAGTTACATTTTACACAGTTTTGTTTGTGAACTTAGGATTCGGACAATTCAAGAACAGTGAAGTTTGGTACAGAAGTTGAATACATTATATGAAAACCATATCAAACCCTCACCACATCGTTACAGCCCATTGGAAAAGATTCCATAGTAAGGCTTGTTATGTTCATAGTACATCACTCCTTACAACATGCTTTCCATAATTCATCCAGTATACGAGGACGACGGTTTCCCAGCGCCCATTTCTCCAGTTTTATCGCACAGAAATCCATAGACGTTGCACCTGGCAAATTGATTTGTATGTCTTCTTATGGAATAGCATAAATACCCCTATTCATTCTCCAGCTATATGAAGTATGAAAAGTTGAACAGGGGGAGCCTTTTCTTGGTGAGCCCATACGTTTTTGACCTAGTTTCTAAACGGATATCCTTCTTTATTATGTTACGTACTGTTGCCTCGACCACGTGAATGGTTTTTGCCACTGACCTTTTTGTTAATGGATTCTCGCCCGTTATAAGACCTTGCACTTTGCTTACCACAGCTGGGGTTCAAGTTGTTACAGGTCTCTTTCAAGATGGCCCTGGTTCCTAAAGTTGATCCATATTTCTTTGTTTTCCATTGCTGTTAAATACAAGGAATATTCTAAATCCTTGAGCTGAACCCATCCTTATGATCTGATTTGGTACTTGTTTTGCGCATAAAACGAGTGATCATACCACGTACATCACGCCAAACAATGTCAAAATATAGTTCTGATACATGCCGTTCAACAGAAATGCTGTGGTTGTCACGTGAAATGCAGATTTGCATATTCAAATTCGTTTTAATGTAGCGTATTCACACCTTTATTATTGATCATGATCCACCTACATTGTTTTCCAGTGCTGTTTCGTGGCAGATGGTAATGGATTAACAATCGTAAGAAGAATAGCAATTTAGTTATCAAACTATTGACTTGAACCAATATATATAAGCTGACTGTAATATTTTCTTGCTGTGGGTTTAATCTATTTAAATGCAGCTCCTTCCAAAAAACAAGAAAAAATGTACGAATTTCATAGGGTGGATGAAAAGAAACACTCTTATTGACATCCGGGTATCATTTCTCACCATGGTAACTATTAAAATAGAAAAGGTTTATACTCTCTGAACCATACCTTATTTCAACATGGTACATCGTCTGGAAACTACACGCACTGCTTTTATATTTCGTTTCTTACTGCTTGCCTATAGCGTGAATACCAACGTAACTTTTGTCGCGTAGGGATTAGTTATATTGCCTTGAATCTGCTTATACTGTAACGTTTCCTTGTTATTTGTGAACTGTAAAGAAAAAAAAACAAACTAAATCATCATTCACTTTTTTAATACGAAAAGGTTCGAAGTTCGTAGATTTGTTTTTTTCACAATCCTGAATTTATAGTTCATTTAGATAAGTGTGCCAAACGTCATTGGGATGTTACCTGAATTCGAAATTTCCTATTCTCACACTTCACTAAAGTACACTGATATAGGGCACGCCCCTAACATTAAATGTCTATGGTCGTTCTGAGAATCTCGGATCTTGTTTTTATTTTATACAGTATTTAATCTAATTATCTAAAGTAATAAACTTTTGTTATACTCGGAGAAAGATTAACCTTTATTGAATATTTATTTTCCAGGTGGCGGAACTGGTCACGAACGAATTTTTTGACCAAGGAGACAAGGAAAAAACACAATTACGAATTCAACCACCTGTAAGTTTATCATTATTTATGGTTTTATATTTTAAAAAATAAACTAAAGTTGTTCTCCACAAATGTGATTAAAACAAATTTTATTTTCAAGAGAAAGTTAACTTATAGAGTGAAAAATGAACGTGTAGAAAGTAGCAGATGACTTTGGTTGTGGTCATATTTTCAAATTATGACATGTTTATCGTAACCACAATATGAAAATATTGAATACATGTGGAACACGAGAGCAATGTCATTAACCACTATAATGGTTCATAATAGGGATCGCAAGGAATTGCACAGAAACCCAGTGGAACGTTCGGGCAAAAAACACCTTAAAAAGTAAAGATTCAGTTCAAAAAAACGCTTTAAAACCTTTACTATTGACTGCTAAGGCTTTATATACACACACACACACACACACACACACACACACACACACACACACACACACACAGTTACGAAGAAAAGAATCCTCTCAAAATTGCCCATTTGTAATTATTCTTATTTTCTTGCCAGCCTATAACAAAAACGGCCTGGTATATTGTACCCAAACCTTTTGTAGAATACTAAACAAGGTACTTCGAAGGTCGCAGGGGTATTGAAAAGTCTTATTTCCTTTATATTTCGCATAAGCTAAAAAAACACCATAATTTTGTGTAAACGATGTTATCATTATCTCTTTAAGTTGGCTTTCTTACAAATATCTGGTGTTCCTTTAATTAAAAAGATGAAACAGGAATTGCCAGCCAATAGTAGATGTACAAAGTATGGAGTAGCTACGTGTTAGTCATCTAATGTTCACCATACAATCGGTGTCTCTAGGGGGGGTCAACCTCCTACATTATGTATGAAGTGAAGGAATAAAGAAAATCAATAAACACAATAAAACTTGTTTCACACAGTAGTAGACTAAATAATTTAAAAGACACGAAGGTTTACTTAAAGCGATGTTTTAGACGTACATGTTATTGTAAAAAGGCTGTTTTTTCTACTGTTAAAATTTTATACGTGCTTACAGGGGATTGCGTCTTAGTCTAGGTATATATTTGTCCATTGCTTTGCATTGTATATATAATGCATCGCAATACTGTTGTCGGTCCTAGTTGTCATAACGGATAATGTCTGTGATAATAGCACCCAAATACGTTGGGGATATCCCATCTATCAAACAATTTCCAAACGGCGATGTCAATCTAGTCAGCCGTCATCGAAAATAAGTAATAAAAAATCATCATTCAAATAAGGGTACATATAAGATTTTATAAGAGAGAGAGAGAGAGAGAGAAGTTAGTTACACAGAAACTATAAACGCTCACTATATTCTCAAACAAATCTCCAGCTGAAGCTTAACATTTTACATCTCTAACTGTAGCGATCAAGTAGTCAATAGCTACAGTAAATAATCATGAACCGTATCAGTTAGTTACTAGCTATGTTTATTATCATTACTTTGTATAAAGTTGGCTACCTTATCAAGTAATCCTTTGCCCATAGTTGAGCATAGAAAAAGCCAGAAAACAAGATAAATAACAAACTGGGAATTCAAGAACCTGCAAATACGGATTGTAAAAAAAAAAAAAAAAAGTAAGGAAACAAGTCTGAAGATGCTGTAGACATTTACTCAAACTATTTTGACTCCACCAAAGGTAATTCTAGATAACAACATGGAGCCAAAATAGGGGTTTATAGTTTGAGTAAATAAGGTCTACAGTATCTCCGGCCTTATTTTCTTACTATTTTTATTAGCAGGTTCTTGAATTCCATTTTTTGTTTTTAAGAATTTGTTTCTATTGCGTTTAAATTCTACATTTACTTAATAAAGATGTCAGATAACATTTCCTATTAAGTGCTGAAGCTTTAGTTTAAAAAAACAACAAAACAAACTCGATAACTGTTATTATGTTACTTAGCAATTTTTCTTTCTGATGTATGTATAATCTCCAAGCATCGTATTTGTTCCTTTGAATTATTACGTTACTACATTCAATGCACTTAAAATTATAGTTAGTTCTCCCATAACTTGTTTGTAATTCTACCCTCTGTCGTGAATTATTCGGCGTGATTGGCACGAAAGTGTGGTAACAAGTTCTATTAGTATTGCTCGGTTGTCAAGGCTGCTGCCATATGTGCGTAATGTTGTAGCAGAACGTTTTGCAACACAGTGAAAACACGCTAGTATTCTAGGCAAATTTTGTGCTCAACTTCGTACTTTATATCTTTGGTGCCATCACTTGGTGATGGATGGGCTGTTATATTTTGAAAAGTAAACATTTTCTGAATTTTATCGACTGATTATTGATTCTTAAAATGAGATCAAAATCTTCAATGAAATGTTAATACTTTAAGACTTACATCTAGACTTGAGGCATGCGTTAGCCCCAATTACGCAGATTTTAATAAAACATAAAAAAAGGAGAGAGATTAGAATAAAACAATCATTGACTGGTGATGTCAGGCAACAATTTTTTTTGCCCTCATAACCAGTCAATAATTGTTCATTATTACTAACTAACTAACCACTGACTCGAATTAACATATGTTATTAAAGAATAGATAATATTAAAATTACCTTTAACCATTATATATTTTCAGTGAATGTTCATTTCGTGAAATGGAGGAATTAACCAACATTTGCATGACCCCGGTAGTTAGGCTACTTGAGTACACGCACTGCGTACATAAACTGCAGTTATTCACTATAAAATGTGTGGTCTTTTTGTTTGGCTGAAATTCTTAGTTTTCTAGAAACTAGTTGAATAACACGTAGAAGTTGCTACAACATAATGGACCGTACACTTAATTTTAATGAAAATGAATAATTTCTAGAACTTGAATTGGTGCTGAAATTTGCTCTAAAAATGAGGTCTTTATTTAAAATTTGATAAACAGACGCGTCTGTAATACTCCATGTTCTTAAAGCTCTTGGTGTAGTTTACCAAACAAAACAAAATATTTCAGTTAAACAATGCATCCTCTTACAGTAAATACCTGTAATACTTTTTTGAAAATAATTGTAATTTTATTCTTTATTTTACAACTTTTTTGTTGAATGTCTTGGGTAATTAGGCACTAATGGATCGAGAGAAGAAACATGAACTGCCACAACTTCAGTATGATTGGATTGATTCTATTTGCCTACCTCTGTACAGGGTACGTACACTTTGAAATCCACATCCGCGTATTAGAGAGGAAGAGAAATAGAACAGCAGATAAATTCAAATCGTATACACAAACGTTTGATTGTATTAAACTTTCCTTTTTCACCTCTAGTCAATACGTAGTCAGTGTTTTGGAGAATTATCTTAATATAAGGTTGGGATATTAGGCTAACACTAACGTCTTTTATGAAGAAACAACGCCTGACGAAGTGTTGGGTTCTTGCACTAAATCATGTGTTAACTGGTTATGATTACAAATATTTTTCCAGTAGATTATCTTATTGTTTCGATAGTTTTAAGTTGTTTTTCATTCCATCATAACGTTTTTGGACTGTATAAATAGAAAACGTATAAATGAGAACTTAACAGTAACTTGTAGCAATACGAGAACTTTTCCTTAACTTATTACTGATATCTGTCAACACGGTCGCATTAAGATGTGTCACTCCAGGCAACATTTTTTTTTCCCGCAACACCTCCATAACATCGCTCCAGATATGAAACCTTTATATTAGTCACGCCATTCATCATGTGATAAGTCACACGATCGCTCAGCACTCTTGATTGGTATCTCGATTAAATTTTTCTTGCCGATTTCGTTCGATGTTTTTAAAATTTTCACCCTCAGCAGCTGCCTACTTCGCCTATATGTAAATACGGCCGTGTTTGTCAAATTTTGTTTGTTTGTTCTTTTGGTGAGATGCTTTAAAACGTTTTACGAGATCTTTGAAAATACGAGACACGACTAAAATAAGTTAGTAAATTATGCTCGCACATCAAGCACTTAAATATTTATTTATCAAGATAATATTTTGAAAATTACTTTTTGGTGTATGTGTATTAGTGTTTGACTAAGATGAACGAAAGGTTCATGGAAATGGTAGATGGAGCAGTGTCGAATCAAGAAAAATGGGCGGCCCTTTCTGGACAAATTGCATGCACAGATAAATCTGAAGATTCCAATGGTACAGCTGGAGTTTCCACAGAAGACAACCGTTCGAAAACTGGCCAGTTGTAGAACGTTACAGAATGGCTTCAGACTCGCATGTATAATTGTTAATATACATATAAATATATGTATGCCTGATATTACTTTAATTTTATTCTTCGTCAGTTTATGGACGATCATTCCAAAACCCGTAGAGTACTGAAATATTAAAGAACCATTAATATATATATATATTAAACTACTTAAACATATCTTTTTCTGCAAAGGGAAGAATATATTTATTTCAATGTCTAATATTAATACAATTGTTTCTTGATGATATTATGTAGTAAAGTAACAGCGTTTTAAAAGTACATCGTTAAATGTTAAAATTTTTTAGTAGCTATAACGTGAAAAACTATTTGGAATCGTCGAGAAAATAAACAATTTGTTAGTTTAGTGAAGATATATTTCTTATGATTTATAATTGACATGCGACATATCAGTGGCATTCAACCTAATACAAAATATACTTCTAGGTTTGCAAGAATTAGCTCCTTCCATTTATAACCATAAACGTACGTCTGACAAAATATCTTGGAGCTATGTCTATATCTTTTGATAGCTGCCCCCTCTACTGTGTTGACTTGCTACTTACTTATCCTTCAGTGTACTATTTAGTGACTGAACATATTCCTGAATGTTACTCCCGAGTCGTATTAACTAACATGCATAACTTGTTTTAAACTACAACTAGAACTTGAGTCAATTAATTAATCATAACTTTAGATACTTAATATATTATTACGTATAATAAGAGTAGTCATTTACAGAAAGAATTAAGTTCGACATCTAATGCTGAAAATATTTTCCCCCAGCAATAACAATATCAGTTTCCCTGCTTTTTTTAAAAAAAAATATTTCCCCCCAGCAATAACAATATCAGTTTCCCTGCTTTTTTAAAAACCGCCTAAAACCATGAGATCAGACATCTTAGAGGAACAGTCACGTTCTTTCCCCATTTTATAGTTTTTTTCATAGTCTGGCTAATATCCTAAGCCTTAAGACACAAGTTCGTTGGCACTGCATTGGGAAACTTACACAGGTACGGAATTGTTGTGTTTATAATTTCTTTAGCCATTATCACGAAATCGGATGTCGATTTCGAGATGTGTCACTTCTATTTAGATCTGTCAGATTTCTTACACTTGAATAGCTCGTACAATATGTACTAATAAACCTCATCGGACTGACGACACGTAATGTTGTTACAGCAACCATTCAGCAATGCAGCGACTGATTGTTTTCTTTCCCGGTTAAAATGAGCGAAGCAGCCAATACGTTCTCATAACTAACGACATATCGATTTTTTGAATGTAATACATGTTTAGACCATCGAGTTCTATGGTGTAATGAATATATATTTATTGTTGCTTTTATACGTCAATACTAGCCAGTTGTATAATTACGTGTTGCACAAACTTTACAATGGCAACTGATATTAAGCCCAACTACTTTCAAAAGTTCCGTAATCTATTTGGGTGTTCATAATAGCCACCTGCCTTCTAATATACAAATTAAACATATGTGAAATCACGTTTAACAAAAATAAATCCAATTTAAAAAATATCGTAGCAGTACATATGAATGTAGTTAACACAGTTGGTGGATAACGATGACATTGTTCATAAATTCATACTGACGTTGAAATATTTAGTATTCACAGTTAGGAAAAGTTTGATATATAACAACCAAATATATTTCTGAATCGGAACTTTTCAAAAACAATAGGTATACGTTTCCTTTATCTAGAGTGAACTAGTATCATGATATCCCCCTAACGACTGAGATACAAGTTACAAGTCTCGTTTAACTCAAGTGAGATAACCCTTCACCAACAGTAATAGAGAAAACGATGTGGTGTATAAATACAGAAACTCTCGGGCAGAATTCGCAGAACACTGTCTCTGTCTTATTGCACTCCATATCAATATTCCAAGCAAAAATCCTTTACTTTGCACGAAATTTTTCTTTTATATTACGTTCATATACACAAATATGATGAATGAAATGTTTATCTGAAAATATGCCTGCGCTGTCGAATATAGCTCGTACGTATTCATTTCATCTTCAAATTAATACTTACGTGTAGCACATGACAATAATTTACTGGCTAATCTAGTTTCTGTTGCAACTAGTTTCCGGCGTTATTTGCGTTCACATGACTAAACGTGTTGGATCTCGGGTGCCATCTAAAAAAAATGGACTTATTTCAACTCTACTAATATGACGAAAATAAAAGTAAACACGGACAAAAATGCCCTTTCCACGTCATAATGCAATGGATGACGGCAAAATCACTAGCTACTGTTACATGGCAATTACCCTGAAACACCATGTTTATCCTGGTAGTACTGCCATCTAGAACTAATAATAAAATAAAAAGCCTTTATCTCGGATAAACACGAAAAAATAATACATTTCTGTATTTCGCCAGATTTATACAGTCTATTAATTTATAATGCTATGTTAGAACACAGTTCCCTTACTCTACTTCAAGACGCAGCCTTACAAAGGACCTATTCGGACTGATTTACGATAACATCGTTGGTTGTGCGCAGGAAGTTTGCACTAGAAAATTTCTCCCAACATTCGCACGTGTAATGCAAATATTACCAAGTTCTCTTGGGATACTTGTTTATCAGGATTCCTAAACTTGATTAACATATAAATATGTATTTTCCTCGATTTTTATCGTACAATCTTGACTAGCCATGTATGCGCTGCACATAGGGTGACAAGGATTGAACAATTATCGCAAGATGAAAGACCAGCATCCCACTACTAAATATCACATGATAGCTCGTATCACCACTATGTTCACTAGTTTGTGATGGGTGCACATTACCTTGCTTCATGGTAGACAGTACCAAAGCTAGATCTAGGTGTTTCGGTAGCTTTTCCCTAAGTTCCTGATTGTTAACTCAATATTCATGCACTGTACTTTGTCAGCACTAGTGTTGCAATGGCTTAACTACTATATGGTGTCAAAGATCTGAACATTCAATAAACGGACACGATATCGCGGGTTGGCAAGATAATGCATTGACAATTCCATACTGCTGATCTAGATGTGACGCTACCTATTTGACTAGTTGGTGTTGACTGGCTTCTGTTATCATACAAATGACCATTACAGCTGGAAGCTGAATAGTTGATTGTTCATTTACAGGCTAGCACTGATACCACATCTGTTCTCGGACAGGTCACTGAACATGAGCAGCCTAATTTTCATTCAAAATATTGTTTCATGCATTGGTTTGATCACAGCAGCAGGCAGTCACAGGACACTTAACCAGATCCATATTCAGGGGAATTACCATATCCTTTACAATGTTCACTCGTGCAGTTCACCATATGTGGGCTAAAGTTGGTTGGCATTGGATGTTTTCTCAGCACTGCAGTTTGTCTGTTGCAAAATTAAATCTGGCTGACAATTTTAACAGTGAGGTCATCCGTGAAATATCAATACGTGAATATATTAGAGACAACTACCTCATGTAAGCTCATTGCTGCACTCGTTGAAGCTGGTGTCTAGTTCCAACTAGGGCTTTACTAGCTTACTCTGGCTGGAGTAGCTGCAGCCATTTCTGAATGCTACTTACATTCATTGCTCCTGTCTAGCAACAAAATATAAACATTCATAAAACCAGTGATCAAGTAAACCAAAGTTGAAAAGCTGGGCTACTTTTTTCGTGCCCATGATGCCTCTGGGAGTACAACCTTGATTGTATTTGTGATATACCATGGAAACTACTAGTGGAACAAGAGATCAATGTTTAATTTTTATATTTTTGCAGTAGCACATTTTGCACATTGGTACTGGCTTTTTTTCTGTTTAAGTACATGGTTCATAATCACCACTACAATTTGTAGTGCCACTAAAATTGCAGCCATAGAAACAATGGCCCTCAGAGCTGTGTTTTGTAGGTTTGCAGGTCTCGGTAAGCTTTTATGTAACACCCGTGAATCATCTGTGTTAAGATGGTCTAAGAAAGTTTGCCGTAGTCCTCTCTGCCATCTCTTATCGAGTCACTCACTCTTCAATCAGTTTTCTTATTTCTACCAAAAGTTTTGTGGTCTCAGAAATTGCCTTTCCATGAGATTCAAATGGAAAATGAGCCCTTGAATAACAAATCCTCATTATGGCATCAAAATGTTATTTTTCAGCTAGTCTGTGTTATTAAGGTACACTGTTATCCAACACGTGTTTAAGATTTCTGCAAGAATACAGGTTCGTGAAACGCCATGTACAAAACAATTTGAAAATTTACAGTAAAGGGAACAAAAATGCTGTATTTATCATAATGTTTATCACATAATTGGTCATTTTTTTTGCTTTCACTATGCCTTCTCAATGGCTACTGGAGGCTAGAGGCTTTCAAAATGTGTCCACACAGGACAAGGATAAGAATGATAATAAAATACCAAATTTTCAAGTCAAAGGGGTCTTACTGCGGTATCGCCTAAACCAACGATTATTCAAAATACTATATTCGAAGAAAATAATCCTAACTCGTAGTAATTTGCACAACACTGTTTCTTTCCTTGATGTGCTTGCCTCGTCCCAGGGAATGCACATAGAAACATGACCACAATGATTGAAGCTGACATGAAAGAATCGTTATCGTATACAACCTTTAGCTAAGAAAGAGCATAGTAAACGTTTGACTCTCCGACGTCCACTTTACAAAGATGTCGTTAACTACATGCATAACACCTCTACGTAAACGTATAAAATTTGCCTGAATACACTTTATTAAGAATGACAAAATCTTGTCGAACATCGTCGTACAGTAATAACGATTTTTTCATTACCCAGGCAAGCCGTTTCAAAACATTTATTTACTAAAGGAGTGAGTTACTAAGCCTTCAAAGCTATACCAAACTATAACGAAATTACTCCTTTTGATCTATTACCATTCCGAGTATTCAGACCTAACTTGTAACTGTATGCTTAAACTATTTTTGAAAATTAGAAATTGCATCATTAATAAGTAATGTAATTAATAAAAGAAAAAAAACCCTTACCTTTCTTAACAATTTATCACATTTAAAGAGCATAAAACAAAAATGTTTAAATAAACTTCCAAAATTCGAATGTGTGTTATATACACACACACACACACACACCCTTGTTAATAATACTGTAAATAAAAGACCGAGAAACTGTCAACAGAAGCAGGTTCCTTCATCTTTACAAACCCAAAACTTGAAAGTAAAGATATTTGCTCTGGAACCTATTACTTGAAAACTATACTATAAAATGTGAACGCTGTTTATATAAGTATTCTTTAGTTTATTTATGGAAATTGGTATTCATACATTTGTTAATCTTCGTAAACTAGATTTCGAAAAAATATGAAATGTGACTGATGATAAAACGTAAAAGAGTACCG